AACAATTTCCACTCAGATGTTTCAGCTGAAGAGATTTTACTGAGGGAACTATTTATAGAAGTTAGGGTCAGGGTTAGATGAAAGGAAACAACAAGAAACATGGAGGTACCCAGGAGTTAGCACAGCTAGGCCTGAAGAAATAAGGGAAGGGAATCATGTTAGTAGAGCCCAGTGAAGGCTGGCACAGTGGAGCAGGGCTGCCTTGCAGGAGGAGCCTTCGAGGGACAAAGCCACCACCAGAACCCAGCCAGAAGCAGGAAAAGAGGTGGTGAGACATATCCTAACCTTTTTTTCCTTTTCCATCCTCCAAGCTACTGATGGTGTTACACATTGGTCAAAACCAACTGGCATGAGACCCCAGCTGGAATCGTTTATGAAAAATTCCACCTTCTGAGGCACAGAGTCTAGCAGAGAAGAGCTGAAGATGGCACTAGAAGACAACAAGTGGAGAATAACCAGCATACTTATAACAGTGAAATACAAGTGCCCCCTCATCTCTGGGGGATACGTTCCAAGACCCCTCATGGATATCTGAAACTGCCGATAGTACTGAACCCTATGTATACGACGTTTTTTCCCTATACATACCTATCTATGATAAAGTTTAAGTTATTAATATAAATAAGGCACAATGAGAGATTAACAACAATTACCGCTAATAAAATAGAATAGCCAGGCACAGTGGCTCATGCCTGTAATCCCAGCTCTTTGGAAAACCGAAGCGGGAAGATTACTTGAGGCCAGGAGTTCTTGGGCAACAGAGTAAGACTCCATCTGTATAAAAAATTAAAAAATTAGCTGGGCGTGGTGATGCATACCTGCAGTCCCAGCTACTTGGGAGGCTGAAGCAGGAAGATCACTTGAGCCAAAGAGTTTGAGGTGTGGTGAGCTATGATTGCACCACTGCACTCCAGCCTGGGTGACAGAATGAAGCCCTGTCTCTAAAAATAAAACAGAAAAGTGAAATAAGATAGAACAGTTATACAAATATATTTTAATAAAAGTTATACACTGTGGCCATAACTTTTGCAGTTTGAGGTACAATAGCAAAACTAACATGAATTTCTTTTTCCTTCACAATTTCACAGGTAGAAGATTCATTCTTTTTTTTTTTTTTTTTTTTTGAGACAGAGTCTGGCTCTGTCACCCAGGCTGGACTGCAGTGGCCGGATCTCAGCTCACTGCAAGCTCCGCCTCCCGGGTTTACGCCCTTCTCCGGCCTCAGCCTCCGGAGTAGCTGGGACTACAGGCGCCCGCCACCTCACCCGGCTAGTTTTTTGTACTTTTTAGTAGAGATGGGGTTGATCTCCTGACCTCGTGATCCGCCCGTCTCGGCCTCCCAAAGTGCTGGGATTACAGGCTTGAGCCACCGCGCCCGGCCGAAGATTCATTCTTATCATAGATCTTAGCGACCTCAGCATAAGGATTTTTTTCTTTCCTTACTAATTCAAAAACTTTCGCCTTTTCACTTAAAAGAAGTACTTTATGACTTTCTGGAATTTTTCATTTAACATTTTCAGATCTTGGTCGATCCTAACTGAAACTTCGGAAGCAAAACCACAGATAAGGGGAAACTACTGTACTGGGAACTCAGATGTTCGATAATAGAGGAAACCTTAACTAAATAATGATATTAACCATTCTGCAATTAAATAAAAGTGCTCAGAAGACCATTATGTAATCGGGGAGTACAGAAGAGAGAGCAACCAACTACTTACATAGATTGTAATAAAAGATTTTCCCAAATTAACAAATGAGGTGCTTTGTTGTCCCCCAAGCAAAGTTTCTTATATTTTTGCTAATTATATAAACAATACATTTCATTATGAGAAACACATACATAAAACAAAAAACAAATATCTACAATTCCATCCCCGCTAGAGCACTATAAATATCTGTTTGTATCTTTCCAGATTTTTTTCTATGCACTTATATACACATGATTATATTGTTTTGGGGATCACACCATATTATTCTGTAAACTGTATTTTCCACTTAATAAATCATAAATACTATTTTATGCAATAGATACCACTCTCCAACCTTTTAAAATTTTAACACTTTTTAAAAACTTGCCACCGTGTATCTCTAGTTGTAACTAATTTTTATTCTCAGACATTTAGTTTGGTTTCTCTTTTGGCCATTACCAAATGTACTGTGATGAGATTTTACATTTTGGGGGTGATATAGTTTGGATGTCCTATTCAAATTTCATGTTGAGATAGACTCCCCAGTTTTGGAGGTGGAGCCTGGTGGGAGGTGTTTGGATCATAGGGGCAGATCACTCATGAATGGCTTGGGCCATCTCCTTGGTGATAAGTGTGCTCTCACTCTGAGCTCACAGGGATCTCATTGTTTATGTGGCTCCTCCCCCCTCCCTCCAACTCCTTCTTGCTCCTGCTCCCACCATGTGAGACACCTGCTCCCCATCACCTTCCAGCATGATTGGAAGCTTCCTGAGGCCTCCCCAGAAGCAGATGCCATTATGCTTCCTGTACAGCCTGCAGGACCGTGAGCCAGTGAAACCTCTTTTCATTTAAATTAACCAGCCTCAGGTATTTCTTTATAGGAATGCAAGAACGGCCTAACAAGGGTTGGGGGGAGGGAGGGCAGTTTTTAAACATATACACAGAAGAAAAGCAACAGAGACAGATGTGGCCTTCAAAGCACCAAGTATTTGCCATCCGACCTTTTATAGAAAATGTTTGCATTATAAATTTCCAGGAATGTAATTTTTGAGTCAAAGTGTGTGAATATTTTTAAGGCTTTCACTACATTCTGTCAAATTGCTCTCCAGAATTGTTGAGCCAATTTATACCCTTCTCAGTAATGTCTGAGTTTTTTTCAGTTGCTACACGTCCTACCCCAAGGGTCACTGGCCAAAATTACTAGCTCTGAGTATTATTTTATTCTCAATTTGATGGTGTGTTATCGTTTTCAGTTTTCACTTCCCTTAAAAATGTTTGGCCATTTACATTTTCTCTCCTGATAACGAATTTGCATTTTGCTCATTTTTAAGAGGTTACTTTTTCTTTCTAAGTCCTCTTTAATAAGAATGTTACGCTTATCTTTCATGTATATTGCAGATTTTTTATAATTTTTACTTGTTTTTAAATTTTATTCTATGGAGGTTTTTTTTTTGTTTTTGTTTTTTAGATAAAAGAAGTTAAAAGTTCAACAGTCAGATTTGTCACTTTTCCTTTGTAATTTCAGCCTTTGTTTCAAGCTTAGTTTGAGATGAAAAGCAATTCACATGTATTTTCTCCTTGCCCTTTTAAGACTTAAAAACATTTAAATCTTTTAATCCTGTTCAAATTTAGTGTCTGGGAAACGTTTTAGAAGGATGAATAGGTAACATTACATTAGTCTTGGAGTCAGATTGCTGGGTTCAAATTTAGCCTCACCACATACTATATATTTGTGCAAATCTCTTAAACTCTTTAAGTCTTAGTTTTCTTGTTTATAAAATGGAGATAACAGTAACATTTGCCATAGGGTTGATGTAAGAATCAACAGTTATAAATCGCAGAAAGCACTTAGCACAGTGTCTTTAGCTATTATTATAGCAGCAAGAGAATGCTCTCCCAGGCAAAAGCAATAACATGTATAAAGGTGCAAATGTATGAAATCTGTTTGCATATTCAGGAAACTAGATGTGGTGTAGTAAAATGAGGTGTAATATTGAAGAGTGATTGGCCTTGAATGAGTTGCTTAGGAACTTGCTCTTGATATTGTCAGAGATTGGGAGCCAATGAAAGCTTTTAAGCAAGCAAGAAACCCTCCAGATGTGTGGTAGCAAAGTGGAAAATGGACTAGATTCCGCCAGGTGCAGTGGCTCACGCCTGTAATGCTAGCACTTTGGAAGACTGAGGTGGGCGGATCCCCCAAGATCAGGAGTTTGAGACCAGCCTGGCCAACATGGTGAAACCTCATCTCTATTAAAAATACAAAATTAGCTGGGCATGACAGGCGCCTGTAATCCCAGTTACTAGGGAGGCTGAGGTGGGAGAATCGCTTGAACCAAGGAGGCAGAGGTTGCAGTGAGCCAAGATCATGCCACTGCACTCCAGCCTGGGCAACAGACACTCTACCTCAAAAAAAAAAAAAAAAAAAAGAAAAAGAAAATGTACTAGATTCATATCCCTTGCTCCACCCTGCCTTCCCCAAATTTAAATTCCTGCTTCCTAGAGGCAAATTCTTTCACCGTCTATGTCTCTGGTATTTATCTCCTTACTTTTAAGAATCATGTTTAAATTGTTTCTTGATTTTGCCATCATAGATATGATTATGAGGCTAATTAAACAGTAACCCTAACCAGCTCTGAGAATGGACCTAAGAAATGAATGCGAGAAAGAAAGTAGAAGCAGTCCACTTGCTAGGGAGTGAAAGCCAGAGAAGGGTGGGAGGATGCGGGGAGAAACTGTGTCAAGTTGGAGACCCCAGGAGCAGGCTGGGAGCAGTACCATGAGTTCCATTCAAGAAGCCAAACATTTTAAGCACCGTTTCCTGGAGTTTGCCAAGTTGAGTACTGCCCCAGCCTCGTGTCTTGGTGGTTCCTCACTGCTGAAGAGGACCAAGTGTTGACAACTCAGTGAGGCAGTCTCAGCTAGTGTGGAAAAATATAGCTAAGAAAACGTGCCAGATAGAGCTTTAAGCAGAGCTTCCCAACTGGATGCCATGAAATGAATGACAGGGATGCAGACACAGCACGGGTTTTCTCAGTCCTCCAGGTGCAAGGGCCCATTTGCCTTCTGCAGGAGCAGCCTCTTCTGTTTACCCCCATTTTGAGCCTTGTAATATCATCCTTTCCTACCTGTGCCAAGAAGTGAAAAGGTGTGCGAAGCGCCGCTTTAGAAGGCCCAGTGCATTCACAAACATCAGCTTCTGGGCGAGACTGCTTGGCCTCTTCTACTTAAAAGCTTTGTGTTGCCTTTTTAAGGTTTCTATTCCCCCACCCCGCCCACCAACACCCATTCCTACCTCCCTCTACGGTTCAAAACCCAAACCATCCTTAAGGCACACTGAGTATCACAGCATCAAAGGCTGGAGAGAGATGAGTTCCCCACCCTTGATGCGCTTCCTGTCCGGGTGACCCGAGGCCCACTTCTTAAGCGGTAAGGCCCAGAGACACTGCTGTGGCTTGAGGAACATCCAGTACACCTGGCATTTCCATTAGAACAGTGGGACCCGGATACCACTGGCAGGAAGTCCATCTTCACAGCTGCCAACCCATCTGTCAAACCCGCAGTCCCCTATGAGAGTACAGATGAATGGAGGAGGAAGATTTAAAAGTGAATTCGTGGGCGGCGACAAGGAAACAGCAGCCGTGGCCGAGCGGACCCCAGAGCCCTTCCCTTCTCGGCCCTCCCTCTGAATCATCGCGCTCCACTTGTGACGTCGCGGACGCCCGGCTCGGGCAGGCGTGGGGGGCCCACGCGTCCCGGGAGCCCCGAGGCGGCAGCGCGCGTTTCCACGCTGCGGTGCCGCGGGAAAGCCGGAGGCGGAGGCCTGGCTCAGGCAGAGCTCGGATCCGGTGCCGAGCCGAGCGGGACAGCGCGTCGCCCGGGCTTCGCCTTCGCTCGCGTTACCTCCGCCGTCCTCTCCAGCCCTCGTCCTCTGGCCGCGCGTGCGGCCGCAAGCCCAGCACCCCTAGCCTAACCTCGCGCCCGGGCCGCGCCTCCTCCTCCCACTCCTCCTGCTCTCCTCCCCCGCCGCTTCCGTTTCTCGAGGGAAAGGCTGCTGCCTCCTGCTCTGTCCGCATCCCCTGCTTAGGTAATACGTTTTCCTCCTTACGCCACCCGCCACCGGGTCCCCGCGCCGCTGCCCCTCCTTCTCGGATCTGGGCCCCGGGCTGGTGAGCGGCGCGCGCCGTCGCCTCTCCGCGGGTAGGTGAGTCGATGGCGCCGGGAGGGCTCTTCGCCTCTGCGCGCCGGCCTGCGAGGTCCCTGCCCCGGCAGCGAGGCCGCCCTGGACCCGGCCCGGCCGGGCCAGGCATGCTCGGCATCGCCGCTGCAGCCAGCGCAGAGAGGAGCTCGCGAGTCCCGCGGCGCCCTTGGCCCTGCCGGAGCGGCCCGAAGGGGATGGGGGGCGGGAAGAAAGGGTGGCAAACAACGATTTAAAAAAATCTAATCATTAGCATTTGTAGGACGAAGAAGCTGGTCTGACAGTTGTCCAGAGCAGTGGCCCAGCTGCAACAGGTAGATGGCGCAGCTGTCAGTGGCCTCTTGGTCTCACCCTTGGCTTTGAGAGATGCTTCTGAGTGTCCCTAGCTGCCGGTTACCTCCAGTGACCTACTTGATGAGTGTAAAATAAACATGATGGGACTATATTTAGAAAAATCTTTACTTCCTTGCTGTTAATTCTCTCTGCATTTTGAAAGGTGGTCTTGTGAGGCGTGCATAATTAGTTGGTGTGTCCAGAGTGGTAGCTGGAAAAAAATATTTAACCTGGGTTTGGCCCTATCATGTAGACGGTTAGGCGCAGAGTGTGAAAGGAAACGCTTACTTTAGTGCATCTATGAAAAACACTTATAAGAAACCACGGCGTGTTTTTTGGAGATTTCTCGTTTTAAAGCTATTTTTAAAGTGTTGAATAAGCAGAAGTTTGCCCACTGTATGATGGTGTTCACTTCAAAAGAACAGTGGGTTCAAAGTATGGACAGACCACTTAAGTGGATCCCATCTGTTGAGTAAAAATTTTTTAGCCCTTTTACTCTGATTCCTAGCTTTGAAGCCAGAAAAGTTGATAAGGATCAGCCCTGCTCAACTTGATAATAGTATAAGGATGAAAGTAATCCACTGAACTACTCTTGACTGCTGTATTAGCTAAGTGATCTCATTCTTACCTTTTTTTTTTTTTTTTTTTTGAGACGGAGTCTCGCTCTGTCGCCCAGGCTGGAGTGCAGTGGTGCGATCTTGGCTCACTGCAAGCTCTGCCTCCCAGGTTCACGCCATTCTCCTGCCTCAGCCTCTGAGTAGCTGGAACTACAGACGTCTACCACCACGCCCGGCTGATTTTTTTTTTTTTTTTTTTTGTATTTGTATTAAAGATGGGGTTTCACCGTGTTAGCCAGGATGGTCTCGATCTCCTGAACTCCTAATCCGCCCACCTTGGCCTTCCAAAGTGCTGGGATTACAGGCGTGAAGCACCGCGCCCGGCTCATTCTTACCTTTCAAAATAGAGAACATAAGGGAAAACATAAAGGCAATGGAAGAATTCGTTTTTTCAATACAGACATTTGTTTCCATTCTTATGTAGAGCCTACTTTATTTTTAAGTTTTTGTGGATTTTTATACTACTTTTGAAGTTAGCTCTTAGTCATGAAGAGAATTATGTCAAATACATAGAGTTACACTGTACTTTTTGTGTAGAATAAGCTACCACTTTTCAAGCTTTTGAAATAAACCACCACTTGCTTGGAAATTGCAGCTTTCACTAATGCCCTTTAAAATGATATACTTTATTATAGATTTAAATTATAGCTTTTCTTGTTATAGTCCTGAAAAAAATGAAAAGATAATTTCTTGTTTGACTTAGAAGGCCTGTGAGACAAAAGTTATAAAGGTTATTATATATTTATTTTACTTTTTAATTCTGTCTCTCATAACAATTAGAAAATGTCTCATTCTATTTCATGTTATACAGAAATTGCTTAAAAGATAATTATGTTATATAAAGTGATCAATGAAAACAAATGTCATCTTCATTTTTTAAAGGTGAGGATGGTATATATAAGCACTTTTTCCAGATGTGAGTCCTTATGAATGTTCTTGTTAAGATACTTTGAATCTTGTAATGAAGTTAATAAAACTATGTTAATGTGTTTGTTTGGCTGAGAGCTTAGACATAAAGGCTCTGGCTGGCATGGTGGCTCACGCCTGTTATCCCTGCACTTTGGGAGGCCAAGGTGGGTGGATCACTTGAGGTTAGGAGTTCGAGACCAGCCAGGCTGACATGGTGAAGCCCCCATCTGTAGTAAAAATACAAAAATTAGCCAGGTGTGGTAGCAAGCACCTGTAGTCCCAGCTACTCAGGAGGCTGAGGCAGGAGGATCCCTGGAACCCAGGAATCAGAGGTTGTGGTGAGCCCAGATTGTGCCACTGCACTCCAGCCTGGGCGACAAAGTGAGACTTCATCTCAAAAAATAAAAATTAAGTTAAAATTTAAAAAATAAAAGTTCTGTTTCCCATCTCCTGTGATTGATTTTGCATACTGTTTCTCAAACTTGTCTGATTGTAAAATTCCTCAGGGTAGTAGGCAAGTGGGGGAGTGGGTAGAGTATAAAACTGGTTTAAAAGATTCCCAGATTGCAACTTCAGACTTCCTGGATTAGAATTTCTAACAGAAAGGAGATATTTCAAATAGACAAAAATGATAAAATTTTAAAGTAGTCAACAACAACAAAAAAAGGTGAGTTTGGGAAATGCAGGTGGGAAATGACTATTGTTGGAATGAAGAGTTGATATAACTTATTAGGACTCCTGTACATGAAATATTCAAATATGGAAACTATGATTTTATTAATATGATGATGCCACTCATTTAGGAAATCTGAAACGTTTATATTTTTTTCTGGTCAACTTTCTGCTGATCAAATTTAGCAAACATATTTTTGTCTTTTTTATGTGGTATGTAATATTAATTCAAGTTCTGGAATGTGATGAGAGCATTTTATTAATGGATGACTAATGCAGATTACTGTAACTAGTATCCACAGCAAAATATTTTACCTAATAATTTCTCTTTCTTTTTCTTCTTTTTTTCTTGAGAAAAGGTCACACTCTGTCATCCAGGCTGGAGTACAGTGGTGTGATCATGGCTCATGCAGCCTTTACCTCTCAGGCTCAAGCAATCCTCCCACTCCAGGCTCCCGAGTATCTGGGACTACAGGCACGTGCCACCATCCCAGCTAATTTTTAAAATTTTGTAAAAATGGAGTCCCACTATGTTGCCCAGGCTGGTCTCAAACTCCTGGGGGCTCATGACATCCTTTTGCCTCAGCCTCCCAAAGTGCTGGGATTACAGGTGTGAGCTGCTGCACCCAGCCTAATTTCTTTCATATTATAGATTTGTTACCTTTTCCATGTACCTGATTAAATACAGGTAAGGCAGGCATGCAAATTTGAATACTTTATTTGTAGCTTTCTTTTTTTTTTTTTAGATGGAGCCTCACTCTGTCGCCCAGGCTAGAGTGCAGTGGTTCGATCTCGGCTCACTGCAACCTCTGCCTCCCGGGTTCAAGCGATTCTCCTGCCTCAGGCTCCCGAGTAGCTGGGACTACAGATGCCCGCTACCACGCCAGGCTAATTTTTTGTATTTTTAGTAGAGATGGGGTTTCTCTGTGTTAGCCAGGATGGTCTCGATCTCCTGACCTCTTGATCCACCCGCCTTGGCCTCCCAAAGTGCTGGGATTACAGGCGTGAGCCACCACACCTGGCTCCTTATTTGTAGCTTTTTAAAAAATGACTCCCAACCCCATTCAAAAAAGAAAAAAAAAATTTACTTGGCCATGAAACTTGGTCAATTATACATAAAAAATTAACGAAATGGAATATTAAATACCTATAAAATAACTTGACAAGATGAGTTACCACAATGGAAAAATGTCAGAATTTATTTTCCTTTTCTTTCTTCCTCTTTACATTCCTTTTTTTTTCTCCTTTTTTTGGGGGGGATGGAGAGTGTGTGTTATTTGCTCATTTGTTTTTATTTTTAACCAAGTAAATATTTAAAATACACTAAATTAATTATCCATGTTTAAATTAATTTAAGTATTTGCCAACTTTACCAATAGATGTTTAAACTTGCCCTTTTCCTCTAAAGTGACAATGGTAGGCTTTGCTCAATGCAAATGAAAGTGATAATTCATATCAAAGGGGTTAAATTCAAGTGACCAAAGAAAATTGTTCTTTTAATATTGCTTAAGGAAAGCATAATAAGTTGATGCCATCATTTTTCATTATCAGCAACTTTTAAAATGAGGATGGAGGCCGGGCGCAGTGGCTCATGCCTGTAATCCCAGCACTTTGGGAGGCCAAGGCGGGTGGATCACCTGAGGTCAGGAGTTCAAGACCAGCCTGGCCAATATGGTGACACCTGGTCTCTACTAAAAATACAAAAATTAGCCAGGCATGGTAGCGCGTGCCTGTAATCCCAGCTAGCAGGGGGGCTAAGGCAGGAGAATCGCTGAACCTGGGAGGCGCAGGTTGCAGTGAGTCAAGATCACGCCACTGCACTCCAGCCTGGGCAACAGAGTGAGACTCCATCTCAAAAACAAAACAAAACAAAACGCCGGTGTGGTTGCTGTATGAAATCAAAGACAAATAGCCTAGTGCCCTTCTTTAAACCTAATCTTCCTACCACTACCCCAACTTGTTTTTTAAAAATATAAGTCAACGAATATTTATTATGCCCTTATTATGTAGATGATAAACATTAAAAGCTTTTGAAATGTGCATTTCTTTGAACCTATAATTTTTCTTTAAAAAAAATTGTGGTAAAAGATATCTAATATCAAATTTACCATTTTAACCATTTTCAAATTACAACTCAGTGGCATTAAGTACATTCACATTGTTATGCAACTATCAGCACTGTTCACATCCAGAACTTTTTCATCATCCCAAACAAAAACTCTACACCCATTAAAATGACTCTACCCTCTCTTCCCAGCCCTGGTAACCACTATCCTACTTTCTGGCTCTACGAATTTGACATTCTGAGTACTTCATGTAAGTGGAATCATAGAGTATTTGTCCTTTTCAGTCTGGCTTATTCACGTACCATAATGTCTTCAAGGTTCATCCATGTTGTAGCATGTATCAGAATTTCCTTTCTTTTTATGGCTGAATAATATTTCCCAATCTCGTTTATATGGAAAGTAGATATAA